ATACCAGCAGAAAAACTGCCAACTTGTACTAACCGGTTCAAAAAGATAAAATGAAAGAAGACTGTTGAATTTCCAAAATTTACTGACAGAAAACAAGACAATAAAACTCTAAGCTGCAAACAGATATTACTGTCCTATGGCCACTGTATCAATTTACCACAAACTTAATGTCTTAGAGCAACACAGGTACCACTCAGCTGAATCCAAGGTGTCACAAAGGTTGTGCATCCTTCAGAGGGTCTAGGAAAATTCCATTCCCTTGTCTTTTACAGCTTCTAGAGCTTCATCATTGCATTCCTTGGTTCATGGCCCATTCCTCTATCTTCAAAGCCAGCAGCATAGCATCTTTAAATCTCTCTCTGCTCTATCTTCACATCCTCTTCTCTGTGTGCAAAACAAACTGCCTCTCTCTTATAAGGGTACTAGTGATTGCACTGGGCCCACCCAGATAATTTAGAATAATGTTCCCACCTTAAGATCCGTAAGTTAATCACATCTGCAAATACTCTTTTACCACACTAGGTACCATGGATTAGATATTTAATATCTTTGGAGTCCATTATTCAGCCTTCTGCCATATACTATCCATTATGAAATTGGAATAAGGGCTCCAGGCCCAGAGGCCAGAGCCATGAGTCCTAGAGAATTATCCCCAGGACTTGAAACCTAATGGAGTTTGCCCCATAGAAATTTGAAATTGTTTGGTAATAGTAACTACATTTTTTCTTCTCATTTTCTCTTAATTTCAATGGAATGGTTTTCCTATGCCTATTGCACCATCATACTTTAGAACAAATCATTTATTCTAATTTCACAATTTATGATGAAAAGGAATTTTACCCCAGGGTAGATTATACTCAGAGCCTCACTCATCTACCTCCAAAGTTATTTAGTTTGTTGGACAATTTCAGTTCTTTGTAGTTGTAGCACTTAGGTTCCATTTCCATGCTGATTATCAGCAGAAGGACTAGAGGCTGTCTGGATTTCACTTGCTTTTTATGATGCTCTGCCAATAATGGTGGGTCAGTCCCTCTCAGCATTTGGAATCTCTGACTTCTCCTTCTGCCACATATTTCTGAGCGCAACCAGAGAAAGTCTCTGCTTTCTGGGGCTCATATGATTAGATTTGCTCCACCTAAATATTCCTGAAAAATCTTCCTATTTTAAGGTTCATAACCTTAATTATATCTGCAAAATCTCTTTTTCCATGCAGTGCAAGATATTTACAGGTTCCAAGGATTGGGGTATAGACATCTCTGAGGGAGGGGGTCCATTCTGCCTATGATAAATGTTTCATCCCCAAAGATCCACATCTCTCCCAAACACAAAATGAATTCTACTCATCCAAGTTTCATCTTATTAGAACATCAACTCAAAATTAATAAGAAGAAGATAAAAGAATATTGAAGAGTCTATTTTGTAGAGTTGTTATAAGTATTAATTGGGTTAGTTCATTTTAAGTAGTAAAATGATGGCTTCTAAATACTAAATTATCAATACAAGTAAAGTTACTAAATGTTGGTTCTTGAATATTCTCTCCCCATTGTTCTCAGTTTAATCAATTTTCTAATTTTTACACCTTTCGCAGTTTCTATTGCAGATTCTTTCTTTTCTTTGTATAATGACTGGATATGGGATATGGCAAAGATGGTAATGATTTTGATGGGATTTTACAGTCTGCTCATTGGTGCTTTATACCTCACAGTAAGAGGTAAGTGGTCAGGGTTAGTCATTACTCTAATCTATCATTTTTCCAGCACATATTTATATTCCACTCCCTGTAAGGCCTCACTTTCTGCCTGTTTATTAGCCTAAAGTTCATCCTCTTTTCAGAGAGAAAGCAAAATAAGTCTGAAATTATATTTTGTCAAGTTATACATTTATATACTAAGGTTAAGTTATAGTATCTCAATGCACAATCACAGAGTGACTCTGCTTCTGCTCTGACCTTCAGCTAGTAATACCCAAAATCATAACTGTACTTCTCAGATTTTTTACTGTCCTTTTTCAATGTTTATATTGGCATCTATATCTCCAGCACCCAAAAAGAGTGCAGTGCAGGTCTTTCCAAGCTCATGCTGTGAAATTGCTGTCCACATAGATTGATTTATCTAGCTCTTATGTTATTCTGTTCACTAAAAATTACTAAGACTTGATTCAACTTTGACATTATTTAATTGTTCACTCTGCCTCCTTGAATTAATTTTACCACTTCTCCACTTTTGTTCAGCCAGGAATCCCAAGTAATAAGTAGTAAACTAAAAATTCTTATGATTTTTTTTTTTGGCCAAGATTTTTATATGAATGAGGGCCAATAATTGTTCAGATATATAATTTTCCCCTAACAACTTCCTATAAGTGAATTTAAATTCATAAAACCATAAGTAATTCCCATAGCTTTCTTGTCATAATTTTCTTAAATGAACATAGTATTAAGCGGACAGTGAACATCTTATTTGTATCATTAGATGTTAGAAGAAACAATAACAATATATAGGATTCTAATGAGTAATTGTGTGTTTAGTCCACAATTTTACCTATTCTAAATAATTTCTTATAAGAACAAAAAATAGTCAAGGATGTAAAGAATTTACTATTACCATAGATTATATAAAAAGTATTTAAGAAAAATTTCAAATGGCAATGAGAATATGTAAAAAAAATAGATGAAAAACTAATATATAATAAATAAGTAAAACAATTTGATCAATAAAGTATTAATTTAAAAATATTTAGTGTTGCCCTAGCTGGTTTGGCTCAGTGGATAGAGCGTCGGCCTGTGGACTGAAAGGTCCCAGGTTCGATTCCAGTCAAGGGCATGTACCTTGGTTGCAGGCACATCCCCAGTAGGAGGTGTGCAGGAGGAGCTGATCGATATTTCTCTCTCATAGATGTCTCTAAATCTCTATCCCTGTCCCTTCCTCTCTGTCAAAAATCAATAAAATATATTTTAAAAAATACTTAGTGTTATAATAGTTGCCAATATAATGATTATTTATGTAAGTAATGTAAGATATTAATAACCTAGTCACTGAAAACCAATGACTGCTAATATTACAGAAAGTGAGACAACCAGAGATTATTCTGGAAGTAATAACAAAGTATTGATGGCATGTTCCTGGTTAAAAAAGGAAAAGAAAAAAAGGAAAACCACAAATCTGATTAAATTTCTATTTTAACTTCTAATTTTAGGGCATGTAAACAAAATAAAGAAAAATGGAAAAATTTGACAGAGATGCAATCAGCAAAATGTAGACATGGACAGCACTTCAAGAAATGATCCAAGTTCTTCAATAAATGTTGCAAGACAATAAAATGAGAGAAACAGATTAGCTCTATTGTTTTATAACTAAAAATATATCAATGAATTACAACTTGTACATATATTTGTTTTTATAAATGTTTTTATTGACTTTAGAGAGAAAGAAAGGGAGAGGGAGAGGGAGAGAGAAAGAGAAACATAGATGTGAGAGTGGAACATCAGTCGGCTGCCTGGGTTGCTTCCTGCATGCCCCCCATGGGAGATCGTGCCCCAAACCCAGCCGTGTGCCCTGACTAGAATTGAACTGGCAACCTCTTAGTACATGGGCCAACTGCCCAACCAACTGAGCCACACCGGCCAGGGCTATAGTCTTAATTTTGTTAAATCTGGGCTAATTAAAGGTCACTAAACTTGGTACTATGAAAAAATTCACATAGCCGTCATGACAAAAATATGAGAAATATTTTTTACATTGGTCATTGATATTATTTTTTTTAAGGTATGCAGAATCTGTGGGAGCAAAACATTATCATACATCAGCCAAACAGAACAAAGGAATTGAGGAACTCTTTCTTGACCTCTGTAAAAGTAGGTATATTTAGATTTAGTATATTTAGAAATGTCTTTTTAAAATATTCATAAGATTTCTAAAGTGATGTTTTACAATCTCCATTACTGACCACATTGATGATTTGTCACATCTACCATTACTACTGTTTACTCAATATTTTTCTTTAACTCCTTTCTTTTTTATATATATTCTTTTTAAT